AGAGAGATAACAATCTCACCAAACAAGCTTTCTGTGTTTTTTTTGGAAATGACAGAAAACAAAAAATGAAAATGTTACCAAATAGGCCCATGCAAGTACTTGAGAGTTAGGTTTGAGAGAAAAGTAAACATAAAATCGCGTATATAGATAAAGAAAACAAAGAAAAGGAGGAAGAGCAACGCCCGCAAGCAAACATGCAAAGAAAACCTACATGGTTTCTGCTACGCAGTAGTGTTTGTTATATTTTGACCACATCATGTGAGTGTGTTCTTGAACAGATGGCAATCTCAAACACTTGTAATGCCCTCAATAATAATAACATTAAACCCATCAATATAGACATGCATTGATATTAAAAGCTCCACATTCTTCTATTCATCAGAGTTCCATTACCAAAAAAAGTATTACATGTTAACGAACAAGCAAATGCCCTACGGGCTTACAGCTTTCCAAGTTTAACAACTTGTTACAAAAGAGAGTACTAGCTCGGTTACATCTTAAGCCCTTGGCTTGAATTTACATTAATACATCAAAAAAGAAATAAGACAACAAAAAGTGTGTCTGCCTCTAGCCTCCCAAGCTATGTCCTTGAGGTGGCATTGCACCTGTACCTGAAAATGATATTCCCATATAGGGTGAGCCACTGCCCCAGTAGAGATATGCTAAACACAGTAATGAGCAATGACCAAGACGATTAGCAATTGATAAATGTTCAATTTTACTAAAGTAATCATAATCCATTTCCATTTTTATCAATTTCACAGTTCCCATCAATGTCTCAGAACCTGGCCAACCACTTATATAGACCAAGAGCTCATATTAAACATTTTCCATTTTTACAATAGATAAACACACAGGTTATATCAATATCTCAACAGAATAAGCATACAAGTTATATCCACATTTCAACAGATATGCATATTAGCTATATCAACACTTCCCATGACAAGCATATGAGTTGTATCAACACTTCCAATGACAGCATATAAGCTGTATCAACACATTCTGACAAGCATATGAGCTGTATCAGTGGAGTCCATCCCCTATCTCCTCCCAAACAACATCCGGTTTAGAGGTCCATCCCTATCTTCCCCTAAACCGTGGAGTACATCCCCTATCTCCCACACACGCAATGCATATATACACAAAGGTCATATACACAATAAATCAAACATAACGTTAATGTATTCTATCAACCATCATACTCTATGACATATCCAATTGATTAGTTTTAGTTTGCCTAATCATCATGCATTGTCTACAACAATCAAACTACCCCCACCGGTAGCCCAAGCAATTATTTCTAAACAAGATAATAAAAGCTCCAACAAGATAAAATTAATGTTTTCAAAGCGAGCGATTCATAAATCAACCCACATTTCACAACATAATGAACCAATTTCATTATTTCCAACACAATCCATAATTTCACAATTTTTCCCAAATTAATTATGCCAATTAATTTATATACCACAAATTAGGGTTTTCTACCCCTTTCCATATTGACGCCAATGGCCTAATATCAACAACCAACAACCATATCAATCACTTTGGAACCCAAAAATACAAGTTATGAGCCCAAAATCACACAACCCTTTTTACACATTTTGAAACCCTAAGTCCAAAATTTCCCAAGTTCAACACTCTATCAAAACAACTAAGAATCTAGGTCAAAGACTATAAGAGTGAGTAGAATCCCTACCTCAAAGGATGACAACCAACGGAGAAGATGATGAAAACGAATTGCTCCAAATCACGAGTTTCTCGGATCAAAAGATAGCCCTCGACGATCAACAACTCTTTTGTAAAGGCCAAATGTGAGGAAATCACTCTACTAGATCAATACCTAGAGAGAAGGTAGAGTTCTAGAGTGAGAAGCTCAACAATGGTGTTTTTGGAAAAGTAGAGAGAGAAGAAAAGTGAAAAAGTGATTTAAAATGACCCAGCGGATAACTCATATACGCATGACCCCGCTCGAGCGGAGAACACAATGCTCTAGCGCCAAGAACAAAATCTGGACACGCTCGAGCACAATAATGCCCGCTCGAGCGCCAAGACACAAGAATAAAGCACTTCCGCTCGAGCGCGCAAACCAGTCCGCTCGAGCGTAGATTTCCCCTTCCCAGAACTTACATCCAAAAAGTACTACCCGCTCGAGCGCCACCGGTCGAGCGTAAACAAACCCGCTCGAGCGCAAAAATCACATCTGCAGAAGTTTCGCAGGAACCCGAAATACTGGAGGTGTGCAATACCCGCTCGAGCGCAAGAAGACCCGCTCGAGCGGACGGCCTAAAAACTGAACAACAAGGAATTGAAACCAAGGCCTAACCAACCTGTAACAACCCTCCTCAAAACATCCTAAAAATCAATCAAGTGGAATTAAAGGACGACAACAAGATACATACCACTACCACTTCACGGAACTGAGTCCGGAATACAACAGAACAGTAAAGGGACAACCGGGATCACTATAACCTCCCCTCTTAAAGAATTTCGTCCCCGAAATTAAACACAAGTTTTTCAAAAACAGGTTTTCTCCATTCTCAACAATATTACAACATAATATTAAACAACCCGACCCATTACCGGTCAATTCCATCTCCTTTCAAGAGGCATTTCATAACATATATTACAAGTGCATTATCAACATGCAATTTTCTTCCATTTCCAACCATTTCCAACATACATGGTTCACAGTTCATATCATAATTAATACACATGATACAACTCCAATTCGACAATATAGTCAACATATGCAATATTATAATCAACTACCATATCAAGGTAAGTTCTACAACATACTTTCATTAAACCAAAACATTATCAATGTTTTACAACTTAAGACATATATAAAGCTCTTAAGTCCAACAACATTACATAATCTAAATACCAGATTACTCATCAATAAACAAGTCCGGGTATTTCTCGCGGACCTCTAGCTCACGTTCCCAAGTGGCTTCCTCCACTCCGTGATGTTTCCACAAAACCTTTACCAAAGGGATGGTCTTGCCACACAGGACTTGATCCCGCCTATCCAAGACTCGAACCGGTCTCTCCTCATACGAAGCATCCTCATCTACCTCTAAGTCGGTCCAATAATCCTGGAAGTAGTTTCATTTTGGTATGAGATCCGGCCAATTCTACAGACATACTAAGATGATGTTTGTTTGGGCAGACATATACTTGAGATTGGATTAATAATCCAATAAAACTAGTAATCCGATGTTTGGTTAAAACATTAAAGTACGGACTAATAATCCATTCGGATATGGTATCTTACATATGATGGACTACATATGATGGACTATTCAATCCCATATATGGGGTGGGATATAAATTAGGAGACTAAGGCCCCGTTTGGGGACTTACCTTTTTAGCCAAAAAGTCAAAAAGTTACATTTTTAGCCAAAAAGCCAACAACTCATACCAAAAAGTCAAAGATTTTCTTTTCTCTCTACTTTTTGCATATCTTTTCGTAATTAGCCAAAAAGTCATCCCAAACATATAAGTTTTTTTTTACCTACTTTTTTAGCCAAATAGCCAAAAAGTTACTAAATTAGCCTGTTCCCAAACGAGGCCTAAGTCAAAGTGTGGACTAACTTATCAAATGACCATAATATGGTCAATATATTGGATGTCTCATGTCCTATCCATTCCAATTCCCTTAAACACACATCGGATTGGATAATATTTTGGTAATCCCTCCTTATAATCCTAACTCAATCTAAACACAGGATAGGATATACAATCCAAAGGATTCGTAGTCCTAAGACTATTAGTCATGGGAATGCTAATCCAACCTAATCCAGTCCCACCCAAACAAACATGGCCTAATTGTATCCTTCTCAGCTGCTATATTTGGATTGTATGTACAAACAGCTAAGCTAATCAAGTCACCAATGGTAAAAACATGGATGGGAGTAAAGGTAATACCAAGGTACTCACTCTTCTGAAAGAATGGAACATAATGCTTTTGTTCCAATTTCTCAAACATTAGTGTTCCAATATCTAAATTTTGGTTTGTTTTACCTTACAGTCAGAAACTCATTGATATGACAGCAAAAAAAGGCCATCATTTCCAATTTCATTTCACAATGACCAGCTCTTGTGTTGCTCCTAGTTTTTCAATTGGCCTTATTCCATATCACATCAGCAAGCAAAACTCACAAAGATACAGTACAAGTGATTAGGATTTAAGATTAATTGATCAGGCATCAATGAATAAGACTAATAAATGCTTTTAAATAAAACAACCTCAGCAAACAATTGCACCTGATCAAAACTCAAATGGATGCGAACAACATGACATATGAAGCTCTGGAAAGAAGCCAACTTACCGTTGGTAAAGCTTATTGTGATCGTACCAACAAAAGAAGCTCTACCCATTAGTAGATGTTTGATTAGTTTTATGCATCTACCTTCAAGTTGACATCTTTGAGAAGATAATTTAATTGCTCTTTCTTCAAGTTGACATCTATGGAACAGTATCAAATATTGGACAACTGAAAGTTGAAAACTAGACGAGTTCAAGATACAAGTCCTCCTGCCAAATTCGAATGCAAGAATCAGAGCAAAATATTCCCTACCATCTTTTTCTTCATCCTCAATTCACAAGTACAATCAGCCCCTAGAATCTTTCTTCCTTCACATATAGAATGCAAGTGCCTGCGATAGCTCATATCAGACATTGTTCCAAACAGATCACTACTTCTCTAGTTGTCAAATGCATGCAATTCAAACTTTCCACAATACCCTCTATTGTTAGTTTGTAAAGTCCTCAAATAGTAAGAGTCTATAAGTTGGGGCAAACAACCCCTATTTTTGTCAGGAATTCGTCATTCACACGCCCATAACTTAACTCCAAAGATCTAATATGATAATTCCTTTCTAATTCCATATCAAAATCATCCTCTACTTCTAGATCAGTATGTTGCAGTTTAATTTCTGAAAGGACGGGACATTCTTTTGCAAGGATGAAGAAGGTTGTAGCAGTTAACTTTTGACACGCATAAATTGTTATGGAGATAAGATTAGGAAGATATTGGCATAAATCCCTCATGGAATTGTCATTGAGGAATTGTATAGCACACAGTTCTAAGGGTGTCAAAGACGGACATGCACGTAAGAAAGTCACGAGTCCATGTAAGCTCAAACCAAAATCATCGTGCAATATGAACTTCTCTAATGGAATGCCTGCTGTTGCAATTGAACAAATTAGTCTGTCATTATCTCCGGATGCTACTAAGTCGAGATCGCATAAAGATGTTGCATAAATCATGGAATTCTCAAAAGTGAACGAATCATCTGGTGAACTGCAATAGAGTCTTGTTTTGAGACAAACCAAATTTCGACTATGGCGTAGTACAAAACAAATTCCATGTTCGGTTACTTTGCAGAAAGAACATCGAATTTCATTCAAAAGTTGACAATTTGATGACAAAGCAATGAGAGATCGATCAGAATTCAGAACAACCAACCAGCCTATTCATATTAATTTTACACAACCCTCGAAGCTTGCGCGATAATACCTCAATCCCAGCATCAGTTACCATGTACTTTGCACTTTTAAATTCTGCGGCCCACAGATTATAATTGTATTCGGATTGGATATAGCACTCAGATTGGATATCGAGCTCTTCAAGCAATGGTAAAGCATCAGCTATAGCAATAAGGTGTTGATTTCGAAAACCAATGAGGTTACAACATCTTAAAATCTTCAAGTTCTTCATGGTCGAACCCAGTTTCCTAATAGTTTTGGGGAATGGGAATTTTTTGTAAAAAAAATGAGAGAGAGGGATTGAAGATCCAACCCAGAAGGAGCAATTCTTCGAATGGGGTAATTGACGTCGGCTTTGTCCCCGAAGATGGGATTATAAAGCACAATGTGTTGGAGGTTTGTGAATCATTGAAGGGCTCTGAATAAAGCCTTGCAGTTATTACTGTAGAACAATCTGTCCGAGGCCACCAATTTGAGTCGAAATCGATCGGTGATGGAGAGGAATTGCTTACAGACCAAAGAAGGGGATTGCAAGTTGTTGAAGTCATCGATTGCTAATCGATTCAGAATCAATTCCTAGCAATCTTCTGAGAGTTCCTTACTGTGGTTGTTCATGATTTGATTTCAAAAAACAAAACACACGAAAACAGATTATATGGCCCTGTTTGGTGTAGCTGTTAAAACAGCTTATAGATTATAGCTTAACAGATTATAGATTATGACTTTAATCAGAAGTTGTTAATCTGTTTGGTGTAGCTGTTGGATTATAGATTTAAGTTGCTGAGTAGTATTTGTTAAATAAGCTGTGAAATAGCTTTTTCAATTAATTTTTATTTTTTGTTTGTCTACATTTCTCATAAAAAATAATAATAATAATCTATAGTCTATTGGGGTCTTTTTCTATTTTTAAAAAAATAAAAAATAAAAAAATTTAAGAGTAGAACCAAAAATTAACATGTCCACAGCAGAAGCTAATAATCAGAAGCAATGGGTGAGCAGCTTCTCAGAATCAGCTTTTTTCAGTTAAAATAAGCTGTTAGAATCAGAAGCTGTTTGAAATAAGTTTAACCAAATAGTCCAAAATAACTTTTTCAAAGCTAAAAGCCATAGTTAGTTCTGAAAAGCTGAAACAAACACCCCCTATGTTAGTATATATTTGGATATGATGATTCGGGAAGAGCGATTGACAATGCTCATAGGGTCCTAAACCCTGAATTTGATTATTTGATTGAGGATTAGCCACCAAACAATCTTTTCAATTAGGGACTAGCAGTAACCCGTGCTATGCACGAAAATCGAAAATGTATAAGTTAAATAATTTATTATACTCATTTTTGTATTATAAAATATAAAATTCTTATAAATTTAAAATATAATAGGGAGTTATAATTAACAAATATTTTGAATATGATAACTATCTAATACCAAAGTTCATACATTCATTTTTTCCATCAATTTGTCATTTGAAACATTGATTATAAAATTATCTTAGTCCAAGTAGGTCATTTACCACCATGAACTATATTTATATCGAACATTATTCTAGCTTTAAAAACAAATAATGTAAAAGTGGATACCATTACAAATAATATAAAAATGTAAAAATGAATACTACTACAAACAATGTAAAAATGTTCAAAAGCCCCTTTAAAGAAAACAACAAAAAAAATGCCCCCACTACATATACATATAGGTATACAAAGAGAATAAAATTCATCAAAACCCTAAAATCCTACAATTACCTAACCAATTATAACGTTGTCGATGGTTGAATGTAACTCAAATCTTAAACGCAGAGTTTGAACAAAACTTTATACTCAATATGCAAACACTAAAAAAACTCGATGGCATGTTAAAATATATAGCTAAAGTGTGACGCATTTGAAAAATAAGATAGAAATAAATTTGAAGATAATTATTAGATTAGAGATTAAAATAAATTAAAAAAAAGGGTCATACGAAAAAATATAATAAAAATAAAGTT